TCTCCCTAGGAACAGCCGTACATCTTATAAACCTGGAGACCAGGTTTGGGTAAATGCTGGGGTCCCAACCCCAGCAGGTCCAGGGGTCCCCAAAGGTGTGGATGGAGTCGGCGAAGAAGGAATGACACAGAGACAGCCTTCAGTTGATCAGCAGCCTAGCCAGGACCTCTAGCCAGGATCTCCAGCCAAAGTTCTGGTCGGGATCTGATGTTTATTGTCTTGTTACATCTGTATTTATACCAGTTGCTTTTAATCCTGTCAATTTCTATTGCAAAGGTAAGGGCATTTCTTATCTCCATTCCAGGGAGTAAAGATTATGTAGCTTAAGCGTGATTGTTTGTAGTTAAAGTGATTAATTACCCACCTGGCACTTAGTTAAGGGGTTGTATCCCCTCCCTAACCTCAGGGAAAAATCCCCACCTGGGGAAACAACCTTTCTCGGAGAGGTGACCTTGGTTAAAACACATGGCACTAAGGAGAGCAAACATATTAAGAACAATATGCTATATATGCCAGGTCCCTTGAAACATATGCTGTGCAGATGTTTCTTTCCTGCAGCGACTGTGTCAAGCAGCAAGGATGGACCGGCTTCCAGCAGGTAAAGGATTCCCTCAAGCCTACCTGGAAGGGAGCCTATCTAGTCATATAAACCACCCCCACAGCTCTTAAGGTTGTAGGACTAAACACCTGGATCCACCACTCCTGGGTGAAAGCAGCCCACCAGCCGAGTGACATCCAATCTGAGTGGAAGGTGACCTCTGACCAGAAACACCCCCCTGCGGATCACCCTCAAGAAGACAGCAGACTTGGCTGAGCAATCTGCTCCAAGGAATTCAGATAACACCCTGCTGAATTCTCCCTAACACTAATCTATCTTTCTTATCTCCTCTTAATGTAACACGCTCTAGTATTTCTGGATAATCACTAGTTTTATCTAATAATTCTCATTATGTCTTTCTATGAGTGCCAGAGGAATCTGAGACTAGTACCAGGAGGAGAACTCATCTGCTCTTGCTGGGACACGGAAGCACCATAAAATTACTGCTCCCCACACAGCAAGGAAACAAAGGCCTTATCATAAATTGTTGGATTACACCTGATTGTTTGTAGTTAAAGTGATTGCATTGTCATGCCATCCTTTGCTCCTTGCTTAGAAACTTGCTACCCAAATATGCTAGACCAGGTAGTCCACGAGAAAACCCAATCAAGCCAGATTTTTGTTAGCTATACTTATCAGCCTGTGGCATGTTATGACTCTACTACCAAATGCATGTGGCAGGGGTAGGGGAGTTGTATTAGATAGCACCGGTCATGGCCAATGTGCAGCTAACTAATGTTGCTCCTATTTGTTTCAGCAGTACGCAGGGCCAACATCCAACAGGTCACCTCCCAGATGAACTGTGCAACTCTACCCCCAAGGCTGAAAACACCACCTACCCCTGGTGGCCCCCTGCAGGAATATCCTATGCATGTGGGACCACTGCTTACCTCTGCCTGCCTGAAACCAGAAGAACTCCCTACAAACCCCTCTGAGAGGAAGAAGTGGGATGCTAACCCCTTGGTCATCATCCCTTTCCAGCAGGAAGTAGCTAAGAGCGGTCGTCACCCCTGTTCACCATAACATCCCGTGGTCTTTGCTCCACAGGCTAAAAGAAGCTTGTGCAACAGGAGGGTGGGGGAGAGATGAGGAGGAAACTGGTCTTGAAAGGAGTGTCTGGCCATAAAAACTGAACAATGTACAGCCCTTGGGGTGGTGGGGGAAGGTCATTATCACTGGGCCCAGGACAGATCATCGAATATGGCCTGGGGACCCCCAACACCTGGGGGTCTTCCTGTAAGCTCTCAAAAGGGGGCAGCACCATATCTGCAAGACAAAGACCACAGAAGGTTATAAAAAGCGAAGCCCTCTGCATGTTACTCACTCTGATTTGGAAATTATTCCCGGAGTCGACTATTGTTAATAAAGGTGTCCCTCCCTTTCTCTAGGAAGTGTGCTTGGTATTTCTTTGGTCTCCTGCAACACTGTGTCCCACCGCCTGGGTGCCCCATACTGGGCGTCGCCGCCATCCTCTCTCACCATCTTGATGAGTCCTTCCGGTCCCCACAGCGCATTTCCTGCAGCAGATTAAGTTCCAGTGTCATTTCTCCACGGGTAGGAGCAGGTGCAGTTCCTGGAGAGATACATCTACACGG